AATTTATTTAGATTAGTAAAAGAATTATCTAAGATGCACGTTTAGATTCCTTGCAACTATTTATCTAGATAAGATAAAAGATGAACAAATAATTATCTAGATAAATTTATCAAGATAATTCCGAACATTGCTTATGAGGAATCTTGTATTAAATTTTCAAATCTTAAATTTAAAAAGAAAAATTTTAATGAATTTCTAACACAAAATAATTTGCACGTTTTCGTGATTTTTACGTATTTTGTCAAAATCCGAACTTTAAATGTATATATAAAAAAAAATCATGACTGTTGATTTTAATATTTTTCAACTGTCACTGTAACAAATGCAGTTTAGTTCCCACCCGATTTTTTCGATTTTTTTTTTCGTTTGTTTATAGTACAGAATAAAAGTCTAATTAAAAAATTCTCGCATTTTTTTACTTAAAAAGTTATAGGTACCAAAAAAACTTGTGCCATTTCATTAATAACTGTATCCACATTGAGGGGTATGTCACGAATTCCCGATGAGTAGAAATCAATGACAGTCCATTTAGTTACTGATGGGAACAACAACTGCATTTATACCAATAATAATGTTAATATAAAATTATCTACTTACTGAAGTCCGCTTTGGAAGTTTAGGGGAAAATATTTCGACTTGTGATGTTATGAAATTGAACGCCATGTATTGCAATACTTATTATAATAATTATGACGAATTTAATGTTCTTCATTTTTAGTTGTTTTACAACAGTTATAATAATAATAGTCTTAAATCTACAAAAATAAGTAAAAATATTAGTCATAACATAGATCGCTCGAAAAACTTAATATTTACGTTTTTTGAATCCTGAAAAGGTAGGTGATTGTTATGTTGAAGATTTAATGACTGACTGTCTTGAAAATGATAAACTACAAAAATACTGTGATTATTTAACTGATAACTCTATATCTGGTGAAAGTATATTCCCACCAAAGCTTTGGGCAGCTTACTCGTCAGATTTAATCAGGACAACTATGAACTAATGCATGCAAGTCGTTCCATTCATTCTTTAACAAAAGTTTATATTGTAATTCTCCACCAATTGGTACGTGGTTGGAACGAGAAGTCCAAACTGATGTCTATATTAAACTGAATGGTATCCATTTACAAAACTTTCCTAAAGATAGGAAAGTAAAAGATCGTCAATTAAAAAACGAAGACAAAATACAACAGTATCTACAATAGAGGAGAGATAAGTCGGTATGACTGGGTTATGCTAAATTGGTTTGTTAAATTTATTTTTGAGACAGTGCTTTCCAAAATGTTGAACATGAAACCGTGAGCAAAAAGAATGTAATTATTTTTAGGCGAAAAAAGGAAACTATTTTATCATACTCGGTCGAAAAGAGGAAGGTCATTTTTGGGCGAAAGGAGTTAAGCCCAAAATATTAACTCTATGGAGTTGATTTATTGAAAACACGTTATTTTTAGACTCTATAGTTGACATTACATTTTGCATACCTCAAAGCTATCTCATTTGCATAAATATAGCAATATTGTGTATAAATGTTCCCCAAGATGGGCATTTATCACCCTTATTATTTATAGTTTTTATGAATGACGTTAAGGATATCTTTAAAAAAAGTCAATTCTTAATATTCGAGGACGACTTAAAACTATATTTATGAATATTTATTCATATGAGGACTGCAATAAGTTTACAAGCACATTTGGATCACTTTTATCAATGGTGTTCATCAAATGGTCTCAATGTTACCTAATGCAGACAAATTACTCAATTCGTTAATTATATGTCCTAAATTACTTCGTCAAATACCTTAAAACGTCCCTTAAACTAATACTCGTGTGCCAAAAAGTTCTATACACCTACTTATCGTCAAAATCATAGTCTATTCGCTCCGATCAACAGAATGTTAATCTGAGATAGGTAATTCAACAAACAACTTTGATTTTTTCCATGATTACTTAATCAGAGTAAAATCACTTATTTAATTGTAATGGTACCTATCAAATGTTACTTAGATAAGCATAGGTACCTATTATTATGTATTGTTACGTATAGGTAATTTTATTTATGTTTGTACAATTTGAAAAATAACTGTTTTGAGCCCAAATAATTGGGAGTACCTATACTAATTGATAAATAAAAAATATTAGTAGATATGTATATTTTGTAATCGGCTTATAAGTAATTTTGATTTACAAAGTGTGTAGGTATACCTATTCGGCTTTTCGTATACCTAAGTAGTTTACCAGGACAGTTCAATATGGAACAAGTTTGAGAACATTCATACCATCGTTTTTTTAATAATTCTTTGACCTGTAGACTTCAGTTATTGTCAACATAATAGTTTGGGCTCTGTCATAACACACAAATATAATACAATATTGTGGATTTTCATTTAGCATTCTAAACGTGTAGTTAAAAATTGATCAAGATTCTGACAGTTGACGCGGACCCGGTGATTGTTTCGAGGCTGATCGTGGTCCGGTCGAAGTGTCTGGTTAGGACTGAGGTGCAGACGAAAAAACACAACGCAAACACTTTACGAATGTCACAAAATATTAAGACCAAAATACATGACGTACCGATCGGGCGATGACTTTTAAGTCGGACGATGTGCTGTCGGTCCGACGGTCCGATGATGAATACCCTTTTCGGGCTTTTCCGCCGACAGTTGTACGTCTTACGCGACACAGTCCCCCTCCCCCCCCCCCCCGTGGCCCCGTCCGCGTTACCGGCTCGCCCACAGTGGTCTGAAATCCAATTTTAGGCGGAAAAAATTAACACCTCTTAATTTTTGGTTTAAGTGATTGTTTAATATATTATCAAATCTATATATGTTTTGGGTATGCTGAATCCGATTTCGGCATTGGTTTTGAAATTGTCCCAATGGAAGGGGGAGGGGGCTAGGGGTGAATTTATTTAAGTATTTCAAAATGTGTGTAATTTACATCAACTTCTACGTTTAAATGGCTGCTGAATTCAAATCTTGCATCTGTTTTGGAATAGAAACTGTAAAAGAGAGGCTAGGTTGTGTATTTATAAAAGTGTTGCAAACATTTTTGTATATTTTACATCAAATATTGAAATATATTATTTTACTATATGAATTATTATACATTTTACTACCTATATGAATTATTATACATTTTTAAAAATATATTATATATTATACAATTTAGATTTAAATTTCATTATTTTCTTCATCTTTCATATTATCAACGTTTAATAACGCTGTTACTTCACTATGCAACAACATATTTTTTTTTTGTGTGTCGCGTATTGAGGAAATGTATGGATCTAATGACGGGAACAGGTTACAAAAAAAAAATAATAAAAATACAGACGAAAATAGATCCCAAATTTTTGGGATATTATACAGTAGAATATTTAAAATACTTCTTATATTTGTTAACGATTATTTTTAGTTATTTTTTAACTACACACTTTGAGATATTATAAGTATTAATTTTTCATGCGATTTTTCTAAATATATTTTTGGTTTTTCATTATAAAAATACATATTAAGTATATTAAACACCTACCTGGGTGTTTGTCATCCATTTCTTAATGGAGAATGAGTACAATTGAACAAAAAAATCATACAAATACTTATATAATAATCGACCAAACTCGATTGAGAATAAACGCTAAAGTAACAGTTACATGGAAACATTATCTACATTTCTTATTGCCTGAGCACTCTAACGAGCTCATTATTATATTAAATACTGTTTTTTTATTCCGTATGATATATATATAATAATATTATTAAATATTATTTAATTAATACAATACAATAATTATTTCAATTAAATTTAAAAATAGACTTTTTTTCTTCCTAAAATTGGGTTTCAGACCACTGTGGCTCGGTGGGAGAGTCAACCAAAGTGGTGGTTGGAGATAAGCTGATAGACTGGTCGCTATAGTCACAGAATAAAGTATAAAATAGTGCTTATACATTGTACTTGCTACTAATGCGGTACTAATCACAGTACTCTATTTAAATATTTTAAACAGTTGCATAATGTTATAATAGATTAAAATGTTAAGATCACCAGCAGCACCATACTCCATTACAAAACAGACATGAGCCTGTGAAAATTATATTGGAAATAACGAGGTTCTTAGACATCAATATTATATATAATAAAATAATGTTTTGGTAGTCTTACATCAGATTGGAATCAAGCAAATAAATTTACAAGGAAAGGATGTCGATTATCATTTGCAACATCAAATATTATTTTTTTGGACTCAACTTTGTCAATTTTCAGGGCTTTAATATATAAATAAAAATAATAAAAAAATATTTCTATTATATAGGCTATATAGGCTAGGTTGCATCGATATAAAAATAAATTCAATTCAAACTGACATGTTTAAGATTTTGATTAAACAAAATTAATTTATTAAGTATATACAATAATTCTTGGATTTTTCATGATAACATAATATTCATATGACAATGTTACAATAATACATGGCAACTTAATTTATAACGATAAAAGTACCAACAACAACAACAACAACAATAACAGTGATAAAATACAAACAAGTAACCTATTTATTGATTTGAAAAATAAATATATAAAATAATATGACACATGTGATTTTAATATTATTAATTTTTTTTTTTTTTATTATTTCAGTCTGTGTGCAGGATACATATCCGGAATCTTACAAGGAAAACCACAAGATGAATGTGTTGCTATGGGTCTGAGAGCGGCTACATCAGCACTTTTGTCGCATAGGCCAGTTCCCATAGAGCTGAATGTCAATTAATGTATATAATAAATAACATTTACTTTTACTATACACAACTGTATAAAAAAAAATTGTTTAAAACAAAATTATAAGGATGTCATTTGTGAAAATTATAAATAATAATAATTAATTTTAACCAAATACCACAATATGTGTAATTTATACTATGAAATTAGCATAGCAATATTAGAATTTATTATTTAATAAAAATAATATAAAATGTAGATTTTTTAAAATTTGATAAATATTATTTTGAAACATTAACACTTTCATATTTGCACACAACTGAAAACATGTCACCGCCTAAACGTTTAGCTAACCAACGGTTTTTTATTATGGCTAATTTGAAACAATCACACAAAAATTCTGCATCTATATTGGTGTGTACAGCTCGACCCATTCCTTCCAATAGAATTAAATCCACAGTAATCAATTCATTTGCCAATTCTCGTTCCAATCGACTAGAAAATTAGAGAGCAATTATCTTTGAATAAATAGATTATAATTCAGTTATCAATACAATAACAATTACTTGACTGCAGGCCCCCCCCCCACATCAAATTTTGGGCCCCTGTACAACATTTTTGCGGGCCCTATATAAAACTTCCAAAAAAATATAACCCATTAAAAACGATATTGGTGTCTCGTACACGATTTCTAGGGGATAAATGGTTAACCCACAGCTTAAAATAATAAAATAAATATTCCTATCAAAATTAAATAAATTACAAAAACATTTCAACGGGCCCTCTAAAATAGCCGGGCCCCTGTACTTCAAGTCATTAACACCTTATAATTCAGTATTACCAATAAAATCTTAAGAAGATGCTACCCATGCATTTGTTGTCTCCGTATTATACACGTACGATATAGCAAATTTTTGTTCACTATAGTTTCAATAGTGTGCTTTTAGCTATTTATTTTTGCTATTCCCGGTTATTAAAAAAAATAGTGAGAATTTTTAATTTTGATCTCATAAATACGTTTTAACTTAGCAATCTTTATTATATTACAAAGTAAATCTCTGTTCATCATTTAGTGAGATGCTAGATTACTAGAAGCGACATTACAACATGTACCATCGTCACACCAATGTAATGATAATAATATAATTTATTATTATGATGATTTAGCAAAAAGATAAAAACATCATGTTTGTAAAAATTACATTTTTAAAGTAAGGGCACCAGAAGTTTTGGTATGGGCAGTTTCCCACCCTGCTCATAGCTAGAACCGCCATTGGTCAATTCACTCTAATATCAAAACTAACAGCACATTATTGAAACCAGTGAACGGATATTTGCTATGTAGTATGTGTATAACAGTGTTTCCCAACCTTTTCACCACCACGGACCACTTTGACAATATTTTATAGGTCGCGGACCACCTCAATTTTACGCAAACTAGGAAGACCTTTTTTTTTTTTTGCTCATTAACAAGAATACACAAAAATTTATTGGAAAATTTTTATTATTTTACTGTACTATTATATAATTATTAAGCTTTACTAATAATTTACTTAGTGTGATTTTTGTATACGATAAGATAACCGTATACTACGGTAAAATAAAATATTTTTCGCTGTTTAAAAAAAAAAAATAATTTTTAATAGAAAACTAAGAAAGGTACCGCGGACCACCTATGACTGGCCCACGGACCACTGGTACTGGTGTATAGGGTCCCCACAAGAAAGCGGGGGCTGTAGGATCTGGTATACAGGGTTACCGTTGAAATTTTTGAAATTTTGATAGGAATACTTATTTTATAGTAATTTGGCTATTTTAAGCTGTGCGCTAACCATTCATTACCTAGAAATCGTACATGGGACACCCATATCAATTTTAATGGGTTGTTTTTTTTTAGAAGTTTTGTATGGGACAAACAAAAACATTTAGTACAGGGACCCAAAATTTGATGTGGAGGGCCTGCCAGTGTAAGATGGAAACAACCAATTCATTTGTAGCGTCCTCCTCTTGAGACTTTTTATTTATATATTATAATTTCGTAACACAATATTTAAATGGTTGATTGTTTAGGATTTATAATATTGTATTTCTTACCTGAGATCTAAACATGGCCCTCCTTGAGCTGTCTCCATTGATTTCAACCTTCCTTCATCTAATCCTTTAGAAATAATAGGACAAATAGCCGCAATTTGACGTAACAGTACAACAAGTTCTGAATGAGTGACATCATTAAGTGCTGGAGCTGAGTTGGCACACAGTATTAATCTTGAGCCTTGACGTAACATTTCTCTAGCCAACGGTAGTATTCCCAAAACTATATCAATACCACTGTTATCGATGAAAATTGCAATTTTTTTGTACGGCTCATTGCATATCTTTTCAACCCAACTATCCAGACTATCAATTAGCCAAGGTCTAGCTGTACATTGTTCAAAAAACAAATTTATCTTGTTAACTGTATTTAATTATTTTCTTTGGCTATGAATTCTTACCAGGTATTCGGCTTCTTGCTTGTTTAAAATCAAATTCACCAGTTTTCATTAGAGCTACAGTTTCTTTAGCACCCCAATCAAAAGTATTCCCTGCTAAGACACCCATGATTAGTTCTTTTTGTCTTTCCTCTAGGTCTAAAGAATCTAATTCTTCCAATCGTTCTTGAAAACATGTTAGTGCATATTCATTTTCTGTTCGTTTTTGCTGAAATATGTAATACTTGTATAATTGTTGGTCATATTCAAAAAAAATAACCTCTTACAGTTAAATACGGATCTGGAAAATCAAATTCTTTAAGACATTGATTGATTGTATCAAGAAGACCCCTCACGGTCAAATTACCATAAGCACTAAATAGTATAAAAAATTAAGATGTAAAAAAAAAAATTTTAAAAAGAAAAAAAACATACAAAGGTTGTATTTTAAGCAATTGCACCCGAGAAATAAATTTTGCCTTGAACATGCAAGCCCGTCTTCAGCTGTATCACTAGTTGGTTGACTGGCAATTGCATAATTCACATAATTTTCTATACTTTCTTCAAAGCAATTTAACCAATATTCTCTGAAAATAATTAAAACTGTTTAATTATATTATTTACAAGTTAAAATTGTTACATAATACATAACATCTTTGACCTAAGCTGATATAAAATAATTAGTTATGATAAAAGATAAATGCATTTTTAAAATAATACCAACCTAGCTTCTTTATCCGAGTTTAAGTCAACTGTATCTGGAATGTAACTAGATGGATCTTTAAGCAATGGGCAAAATGTTAAAGGGGATTCCCAACGATCAAGTTCAAGTTGGTCAACTCGTTTGCCAAATGACAACTGAGTGCGGTTACTTCCACTACCAGCATAATTTTCTAACCACGAAAACTTGTCACCATCTGAAAATATTCAAATATGTACATAATAAATGCAACTATACTAAAATAGAAATCATTACAATATTGATTTAACAATCTTTATATATTAACAAATAAATAATAAATTACCACATTCTTCAGTGCCTTTTAAAAAGGCCCCAATTGCTCCTAAATATCCTTCATGTCTTAAAAACAAACTTTGCACAGTTCCTCTAGACCAATATTTTATAGAAAATGATATAGTATGCATGCTGAGTGAACGATTTCTTAAAAAGTAACCACCAAAATATACCTAAAAACATTTGATAAATATATGGATTTTTATTTTTAATATAATATATAATAAATGTAATTGCTCATACCTTTTTCAAATTATGCATCATTGCATACAAACAAGCAATTTGACCAATGTCATTGCTAATTGCAAATAGTAAACTTCTTGCCAGATCTGCTTCATTGTAATCACTTTCTGAACACACGAGAAATTAATATAAAAAAAGAAAGCATATTTCACATCTATGCTGTACCTGCATTTTGACGAGGACATATTTTTCCAAAAGAAGAAGCAATTAAATCTGAATGCATGCCAAGAGTTTCATAATCTCCACCATATATATCCTTTACAAGCATATCAGCCTTCCTGTGATCTCCTTTTTCGGCAAGATCAAGTAATTCATCAAATGATTTGGCTTTAGTCAAAAGTGTACCAAGGCCCCAGAATGTGCCACCCCCTGTAGCTGTTCCACCAATACGCTCGTAACAATTGTCCGACTCGACTTTTAAAATACTTACACCTGAGCCAATGTTAACTAACATATAAGGAAATACATGTGGGTCAGCTGTTTGAAACTCATATTCTGGGCTACCATTTCTGTTGTAAACAAATGCTTCATCACTTATATTTTTTAATAAGAAGTTACATCCTGTGATTAAACAAGTAAGCTCATCTTCTTTATCTACTCTGAAATTTTCATAAGGATAATGTTAGTACAAACAAAAACATAATTAACAAATTATAACTATACACACTTTAATCCCAATTTGTCTTGAATAAGTTTGCTATACTTGTATGCCCCACCTCCAGTAGCTTTAATGCTTTTTCCTTTTCGTTCATCACTGTTAACTAAATTGTCACCAATGAAATCCAAACAGTTTTCAATATATTTTGTTTCAAACTTGACAAAATGTAACCTTGCTTGTTCAGAATATGTGTAAACAAACTTATCTTGTTTCTAGAAGATAATAGTGTGAATATTTAGTTTAATTAACATGTAATCAAAGTAATTATTTACAATATATCATACGTCATCCTTGTTTTTGTCATCATTTTTGTCTATGTTATCGGTGGCATAATAAACTCGTCTAAATGATACTGTTGAATAATATGCTATTTTTGTAAGTGAACCACCTATTACAATAAACTTTCAATATTAATCTTATTGGTATGCGGTAATAAAATAAATGTTAATATTGAAAAAGGCAAGAATATAGGATTGCAAATATTATAGTAATATTTTAGAGATAAAACTAAAACTGGCAAATAGTAATTACAATTTAATATAAAGGGGTTCCAGTAACTTAAATAACAATTTTGGATAGAAATTAACAGTTTAAAACTGTCAATAAATATATAATCTAAAGTATGAATTATGCAAATAAGGACTGCAGAGTGCAGATCCATGTTAATAAATTTGTTATTGTTTATACTTTAAATTCTATATAATATTATAGTACATCTTATTATGTGGACAGTTTTAGCTTGTACATTTATAATATAAGCGCATTTTATAACATTTTATCAAGGTATTCAAAAATAAAGTTCCGAAATATTCAAACAAAGGTATTTTATAGTATACCAAGTTGTTGAGTGTCTAACAATGGATATTTTCTTTATATTAATGATGGTTATAGAACACCTCTAGGTGTTGATCAGTGGCGGCTATCTCGACAAATATAACAGGTGCTCACTTAAAATGAACTAGTACCTACCCCCCACCAGTATTTCGGGTAAGCTAAAAAAATTACTCATTTCACAAAAAACTTTTAAACCTACTAACATTTAAAGTTTATTTTAAAGACCCAATAGTTACAGCCCACCCACCCCAATTATGAAAGGGGTGCTTGAGCACCTTTTCAGATACGTGATAGCCGCCACTGGTGTTGATTGACACAAAAAAAATAAAAATAATTTTTTTGCTTAAAACTTATATCTTCATTTTTATCATTGCCCTTTTTTTCCAACTATATGGGCTGGTTCACTTTTGTCCTACCAACATTGTAGGGCTGTCCTGCCACCTCTTCATTACTCACACCAACTGTTTTCCTGTCATTCTATATTCTGTCTATCCATCTCTTATTTTGTGAACTTCAGGCCTCTCCTCATAATAATGTCCGTACAATCATAACATATTCTCCCTCGTTTTGTTTAAAATTTATGCCATACACTACTCATCTTAAGACATATTATACAACATTTATAAAAACCAAAAAATTAAAGAAGTTAATAAAGATGATATTTCCATCTAAGCCAAATTCAAAAGTTCTGAGTTCAAACAAGATTCATACTTTTCCATTAGTTCAGAATGCCAATATTAAATATTGAGTTGAGCAATTCATTAAAATGTATTTTTTTTAGCCATAATTTAATAAAGCTTGTAAGATAGACCCACTTAAATCAAGGTGCATACAATATACCGACATACAGACAATAAATTTACATGAGTACAACATATAAAATATAATTTCAAATATTATAAGAAGTATTTACTCTCTTCTCTTAATTAGATCATGTAAAAATATTGATTAAAAGTATTAAATAACAATTGAATAAAGAGGTCTGACATATTATTATAGTTAATTGATGGGTACATAGTACTGGGCAAGTACACTGTTATCTTATATTTATTATAATTGCTTGAGTGCATATTGAAATATTTAATTTATCATTTTGTAATGCATGATTAAAATTACAAAGCATTATTCTATAAATATTTAATAACAGAATTTAAAGAATGAACTTGACACTTGACATTTTAGGATGTTTGATATAGCTATATAGGAACTTTAGAAATATAGTTATACCTACTTACATAATAAATTGTATATTTATGGCTGATAATATTTTATTCAAGCTTATAAAAAGCCATGTTTTTCCAAAATTGGTGTGATATTTCCAAAACTAGCATTTACAATTATTTTAACTGACTTAAGAAATTTCAACAACTGATATGATTAAGCAAGTAAGTCATATTCATAGATATATACAACAACTAGATAGCCGTATTTATACTACAGTTGTGTCCAATGTTGAATTCGGTAGTCATTTATAAAGCAGGCAATGTTTACATATTTTGTTTTACATTTATTTATATACATATATACTGTGATAATATTATTTTGTAAACATTGCCTGCTTTGTAAATGGCGGCCGACTTCGATGCCCAGAAGTAGACGGCTATCTAGTTGTTGTACATAATATTATGTATGGTCATATTTACTATTATGTCAATAATGTAAAAACAAAATGTACTATTTTTTTATAGGTAAGTATATAAGCTGCTTTTATAACAAATTAACAATTAAATAATTACATAAAATAGTATGCAGTTTATAGAAAAATAAATAAACATATTGGGTAAATTCGGCATAAATAGAAAATTAAAATTTGTTTTTGTTTTGAATGTATAACGTACCAATGTCAATAGCAAATTGTTTTGCGTTTTTTAAATTCCTGAAAACTTCTAAAGTATCAGGAAGCTTAATACTGTTTGGATTTCCTTTTTCTTCCATTGCGGTGTTTCCAATTATCTGTGGACAATAATATTGAGTAAAAGACGTATATTTTCAAAATTAATTTTCACCAATCATACACGATAGTTTGATATTATTGTTTTTTCTTGAATATTGTATTGTATAATATATAATAATATTGTGAATTGTAGGACTTTAAAAACGATTAGAACTACAGTTGTACATACCAGTTTGAAATGTTGAGATTGTTTTTTTTTCTCAGGAGTAGTGAGTGACTACAGACTACAGAGTACGGACTACAACAGTACAACGACTTATCAATTTATTAAAAAATACTAATTATTATAATAATATTGACATTTACCGTCGTCGAGTACGGAGTAAGCTGAGTGTCGGGAGGACCATGAACTAAGATAGTACTATCTCAATTCGTAGTCGAGAGTGTGATAACACAGAACATTGTGATAAACAGGTTGCTCGATGACGAATCTAGGAAAAAAAGGCAATTGAAAAAAAAGCAACGGGAAAAAAAGCTATGAAAAAAAGCAAAAGGAAAATAAAGCAAAAGAAAAAAACAAATGAAATTAAAGCGCAAGGAAAAAAAAGCAAATGGAAAAAAGGCATAGGTATAACGTATAAGTATAGCAAAGACCAATATGCCGTATAGTTAATTAGTAAGTAGGTAAGTAGTAAATAATAATTTTAAAAAATGTAACATTATAATTTAGTATTATAATTAAATAAAAACATTACCTATATTATAAGTCATGTTATTGTTGGTAAAGTTGTAAAAAATGTACGCCTTATAAGTTAAAATAAAGTTTCAAGTATAAAATTAAATACCTACATATTGGATCAATATTGCGTATTTGCGTCAATATAAAACATAAATTTATCATAATATAACTTCTAATGTAAACACTGGAGTATAATAGCAGGGCCGTCCCTAGGGCAGGCTTCTAGGGCACCGGGCCTCGCACCTTCACCACAGTTGGACAGGCTAGATACAATAAAAAAGAAAACTAAAGAGAAAAAAAAATTTATCCTTTATATATTTTAGATTCTGAGTGGAACGATGAATGTATTGATTTTACAATGATGTGTGTTTTTTTTTTAAATTTTTTTGTATCTGTCATCACGTCTTAGGACAGTTAAAGTGCTTGGATTTTGTACAACAGTAGCTTTTCTGATAGGAAAGTGAATCTAGTTGTTACTTTGGGGGGGGGGGGGGGTCAAAAGTAAAAATTTCCCAGTAGTTTTCAAAAGCGCAGTGAAAAATAAAAGAAAAATTAAGGAAAAACGGGAATTTTTAAGCAAAATCTGTTTTCGAGAAAATCGATTTTAGTTTTTGGTGTAACATTAAAACAAATGACCGTAGATGAGAGAAATTTTCACTGGTTGTTTATATTAGCATTTTCTATACACGATAACATTTTCAAAATATTTGTATTTATTTTGAACTGTTTAGAGACATTTTCAGTTTCCAATTTTACTAGTTTTTTTTTTATGAATATCAATAAAAATTTATTTGTTGAGTAAAAATACTTGAAAAATTAATACAATCTATATATATATATATATATAGAATATCCTTCTATATTTTTTCAAAGGCAGATGAAAAATATTAAAAATCCTTAGTCACAGTTTTTTTTTATAAGCATTTAAAGTTCAAAAATTGACAAAATATGGAAAAATCACGAAAATTAGCAAATTATTTTGAGTTAAGAATTCGTAAAAATTTTTCTTTTTAAATCTAAGATTTTAAAATGTGATACAAGATTCCTTATAAGATTATCTACCTTTATCAAAAAAAAAATGTCTATAAGAAAGTCAAATTAAATTTTTATTAGCGTTTGAAATTCAAATTTTTACAACATTGGATATTCACTCGATTTCTCATTTAGTGATTTCCTTATTTTGTTGTACCTAATTCAAAAACGAATAACTGTAGATACATTAAAATTTCCCTGAATGTTTACATTAACATTTCCTATACACCATACAATTTTGAAAATATTTTACAAGAGTACAATCAGGTCTTACATTTAAAAAAAATAATTCGTTTTATGTTTGTGAGATTTTTGCCTTATACAATAAATATTTATACCAAATACAGGATGTAGAAAATATATGCATATTTACTGTCCCAAAAGATGATGGCAGCCACACACAAAAAAAGAAACACTCACATCATTCTAAAACCAATAGGTACATTAATCGCTCCCCTCAGAACTTAAAATATTATCTAGGTCATTTTCGAGATTTTAAAAAATGTTGTCATATGTTGTAACCAGTTATTTGTTAAGTTGGTAGTGTCTAAAGATGAATTATCCCAAGCAATTTTGTTCCAAATTAAAAAAAATAAAATTTATTTATTTAGTGAATATATTGAACATAATATGCTTACACAAAAATCAAACATTATTCACTACCATTTTCTAGAGTAGGAAGTTCATTGAAATGTTTATAGAAACACTTGTTTTATTTTGTATTTGCTCAATAACCTTTTAAATACTATAACTAGACAACATTTTATATTATTCTTTCAATTGTATTCAACGCTGTTAATATTATTGATACAGAAATGGTCAGAAATATTAATATGTTAACTGTTTTTTTTATACTTAGTTGTATTAGTACCTAATATAATATGGGCTGGAGGTGAGTACTTACATTTTTATTTTATTTTTTATTCACACGATAGATCACGGATTAATGTTTATGAAGAAATATAGGAAGAAAATACATAATTGTCACAGAAATTCATAAAATGACTGTTAGAAAATAAAAGTAAAATAATTTAATAGAATAAGATTATACAAACATACATAACAACTAGGTGTTTAATGGAGTTATACATGAGATAGTGCGCGTCTATTTGTGTCCGTAGGTGTATATTAGTTATCGGCTCCAACACTCATCATTTGAAAAATAAAACTATTTTAGTAACCATTATAATTATTTCAGATAAAAATACAGAGTACCCCGAGAGGATCTATCCATTGAGATATCTCCTGAGATAATAAATATATCATAGGTAAATCTGTTTTTTTTTTTTATTAGACTCACAGCGAGGATTACACATTTTATTTTTTAATTTTATTTAATTTTTTGGTAAAAAAGTTTAAAAAGTAATTTTTTATATTCTCATTATTGATACAGTTGAAGATAATTATTTTTGTGAACATTTTGACTTTTTAACATTTTATTTTCATTAATCTCATGATTTTTAATAACTTTGTTAGCTTATAGGTAAAACAGCCAAAACCCTAAGATATTATTGTTGTATTGAAATTAAATAACTCAGATCAATTCAATCTTATATTAAAATTAACATCTTAATATTGATTTTGCTGAACACAAACTTAAGTATCTGTGTTACATTACGTTTGAAATTGGGCTTTACGTACTAAGTCATCCTCAAAGCCAACCATTTCAAAACATCATAATTATTGAAACATAACATATTTTATTAATAATCATTAATATTATTTTGAATCAATGTCAAGATGATTGTGTCCGTAAGTATAATTATTATATTTACGATAGGTACAATACATATATATAAAAATATAATTACGCGTAGACATGATTTCTGAAAGGGGAGGGGGAATCAAAAAAAAAAAAAAAATGACATAGCTAATGGGAGGGAAATATTGGAGAATCCCCCACCCTCTCAAATTTTTTTACTAAGGTTATAAAAAGCCAATGGGGGGATCTGACCCCCACGCCCCCCCTTGTCTAAGCCACTGTAATTATATATGTTTATATACAATGTGTTTCACATTAATCTTAATGTGATATACAGTGTCTCGGAATTCAGTTAAAAGATCAATAAAATAAGCTCTAATGAGATTTGCACGATGTTAGGTTCCTATAATTCTTCAGGACTCCATAAATATAGTTACACTTCAGTAAACATGTTAACATATTTTATATACTGTTAAACCATTTATTTAATTGTACTTTGTAAGAATAAACTTAATATTATGTACCTAAATAAATTATTATTTATAACCGGATACCTATTGGCTAATAATCGGATACGTACCTACCTACATCGGCATAATTTATGAAATATAATAATAATTACTATAAGTAAGTCTGTAACGTAGGTATAATAATGTACCTACAACTAATTTAACTTTTATTTATAAATACTCGTTTAATTTCATATTTGTATAAACATTAAATTCATAATATTTATATATAATACCTATATCAGTCAGTTGATAATTTTATAAATATGTATTATAATTAATATTCGTTGTTGTTTAAAATATCATTACAGACCAAATGGTTGAAAAATGTTTAATGACAAAATTAACTTACTAATGGCAAGTATTTAATTTAAATATTTTTATATCAAAACAATTTTTGATAGAATGTCAGTGTTTATACCTCATGGTGTTATAATATTCTTATAAATATAAATACGATACATTGAATAATAAAAAAACCAACGAGACACGTCATGCAGTTATCGGCTGATAGATTTTATCGGCCCTATTTAATGTAACCGTGTGATGTGTGATTTATACTTAATCTTATACAATAATCAATGTATTAATTATAATTTAGGATCATATACCGATGCAGAAGGTTAGGAAAAGGTAGCTGGACATTTACTTTAGTTTACATTTGTTTTTATAATATCGTATTTAAATATTGAATTATAACCAATTATTTATTTGTATTTTTTACGAATTTTTCAATTTTTTAGCCTGCCCCCCCCCCCCCCACTTTGTCCGTTTCGTTTCAAAATACCTCCAAATAATTGCAAATTAATTGAAACTAATTGCAAATCGAGTTTGGCTAATTGCAAATCATCTTTTTTGTGATTCGAATTTTATGTAGGGTTCTCACTATGGCGATGTCTAGCACGTCTGGTCGGTATCTCGTGTTTGACGGGAAATATATGGGTGTGTCTGGGGCTACTATCGAGCAGTCGTTTAGATGCACTTGTTCGAAGAGTGTACGGCCTGATCTGTTTGTTGAGTGGCTGTGCCACATGGGCAGTGTTAGAAACAGATAACAAAAAAATCATCTGGATAAAGATAAAGATAAAAACTCTAAATTTTATTGAAGATACAGATAAAATATAAACAAATTAAACTCATCTAACAAAAAGATAAAAATATTTTATCTTGATAAATAACAGATCATTATAAAAATTGAAACAACTAATTGAAAAACCTTCATGTAAGTATATGCCTATATAATATGTTTATTTTCGACTTAATTTATTCTATCATGTTGTGTATCACCAAACATTAATTTCAACACATATTATATAAGGAACCAATAAGATCCAATTGACTTAAGGGATTAACAAAGAATAAATAAAAATTGGGGGAAGTCACCCTGTTGTAAAGTAGGTGTCGAGTGGACCAAAAACAAAATACACCTAGTTAATAATATTTTTAGAAATATTATTAAGTACAGGTTAGCATTTGGGCTAACCACATAAAATAAAATATACACATTATTGAGAAAATGCAATGAAATTAGATTAAATTTTAGGTACAAGTTGTGCCTGAGATAATGAGAATAAAAATGAAACATTTTGGAACAGATCTAGCTAATTTTCACCAAACAATTTATCTAGTAAATTTATCTAGATAAGTTAAATTGTTATCTAAAATAAACACTTAGATAATTTATATTTATTTATCTAGATAAGTGATTATTGTTTCTCTGTTCTCCATTTTTATTCTACGCTTGTTGATTGTAGATTTGTATTTATGTTTTCTTTTTGATGGGTTATACGGCGGTAGATTAAAATAGCAGTTCAGCCGTGAGCGGGTGATCAGTGCCTGGGCGGCAGGTCGTTTCTGTAAGTGTGGAAATTTGTGTAACACAAAAGTTCATATATGCAATAAATGAGTAATTAACTATAAGTCATAATAATTATAATTTGTACATACCTACTCTAATACCTATACCTACTTTATAATCTTGAATAATATATTTCATTCAAACATATTTTATTTATATTTAAACAGTTCCTGCACTTTTCCAACCTATTTAATACTACATAAAACGGTATTTAACAAACTGTAAAACTTGTGCAGATTTTTTTGAAAGAAACAGAAATTCTTTATTTTTTATTTTTTATTTACTTAGTTTGATTAAGATACTCGTAGTATTGAAATCGAAATTATTATCAACTGATAACTTTTTTCCTTTTTACAAAACATTCTCAAAAAATTAGTTTAAACATAAGTTTCAATAATTATTACAATAGTCAATCTGAAATCTGAATTGAATCTTCCCAGTATTAATAATAGAGCGCTATGTTACACATTTTTTTTAAATTGTCGTAATACATTTTCTAGTGCACAAACATTTTCTAGTGCAAAATATATATACATATATATATACAAAATTAATTTTTTTAATAATATGTAGTTTTATTACTCCTTCAATTGTTAAATTTAAAGTAAAGCAAAATATGTTTATTACACATTCATGTATATTCATAAAAAAAACTAGATAAAATGATAGTGAGCCTATATTAATACATAATTTAATAAGGATATAATGCAATTATATAATATAAAAACATTTTGCTTTATCAAATAAAATTATGTAATAAGTATAAATAACAAGGAGTATTATAAATAAATATTATATGTAATATAAATCATAAGATATACAATCGTCTTATTTAATATAAAAACATTTTTTCTTACATTTAACTAAGGTAATTAAAAGAACCCAAAAATTATGTATGCAATAAAAAAAAAATGTCTAATAAAATACGTTATGCTCATTGTAATCATATTCTTCACAATATTTGTTTGGAAGTGTGGCAATGTCTGAAAAATAAAAATAAATCAGCTTGCGTTAAATTGTTTATATTTATTTATATTTGATGTAATATTATAGAACCAATAAACAGTACTCAGAGTTTTTTTTAATTAAGTATAAAATACTATATTAATAATATATCTAAATGAAATATGTACTGTAATTTTTGCGATTGTATACAAATGTCCGTATTGGTTCTGAAATAATGTACATTAGCTTCAGGTATGTATTTAATATTAATTATTGTTACTTTATTAGTGGAACATTTTTAAGTTATATTAACAGTAATATAATATATCTACATGAATTATAAACGCTTTACATTTATTTTATCGAAAACCCATATTCTAAATAATAAGCATCATAAAACATTGACAATTACATAGGTACTTACCCTTTAGATCACCGACTTCTAAAATATTAATTACGCTATAAAATATGACTAAAAAACATAGTGGGGGACGGACGAAGTGGACCAGCGGACTAAGGCGTCAGTTGCGATGCGCACCATCTCCGCGCCTGTTCGAATTTCGGTCACGGGCGGCACTTCTCTGCAGGCGCCAGGCAGACATCTGTTTGGAAAGAGAGGCCACCCCGACCAAGCATGGCAGAAATCTACGGGTGCCCAATTTAAAATTCTCAAGAACTAAAACACACGTGTTTATCAAAAACCTACAGTACAGTACACTACAGTAAAAGGTTCAAATAAAATTAATTTTTTAACAAGGATGTGTGAGGGATAATTCCCCTCATATAATTTTGGGCAGTGGTCCTTCAACATTTTTTAGTGTCAACCTACTCACAATGAATGCTAGTGGTGATTGGGTGCCACTGTTTACCTATAAAGTATAGTATGTTAAATATTTCATCATCCCGTATGCACAGTGTATATTATTATTAAATATTAAAATACAATAATATAAATAATTACTGTAAGCTAACCCAAATCTTTAACTTGATCTCGCCAACCACTTGCATTTCCATACCTACCGGCTATAAAAAGTTAAGTACATTATTATATAACATATGAATCTCAGTTTGGTAATGCTATTATATTGCTATAATCAATCATTCGTGATTGGGTATCATCTTGAAATATAAATATAAATTATAATACTTAAGTTATTGTAAAAACAACAGACTTCAACTAAATGCAAGGATTACATACTACTCCAATTTGAGGGGAAACTAAGTACCTATGACATTTTTTAGTTTTTACAACAGTTATTATCCAAATGTTCAGAAAAAGCATCAGACGATGACTTCATGATGAGTTCCTCGCATTAAACTGAAATCATTGCATTTGAAACAATCCAAATATGTATTATTTTTATATTTTAGGTTGGTACTCAAAAATATGTAGGTGCTTAATATAATATTATTATAAATGAATTAAGACATTCAGTATAAACAGTAAATGATACAATATCAAAAATAGTTTTCATATTCAAACGCCTAAATTAACCAGGTAGGTACGACCTACTTACTTTCTTCGTTTTTCACCATTAAACCAACTGAAACCATTTCGGCTGTAATAAAGTTTTAAATAACAACGAATATTTGAACAATATTTCAACTGATATATTATAAATTAAAACAGGGCTTGGAACCGGTTAAAGGTTTTTAACGAAACCCGGTTACCATGAAAAAATGTTGGGTCTGGTAACCGCTTCTCGGTTTGTAAGTTTAAATTTTGAGAAACGGCTAACAATTACCGGTAACCACCAAGCTCAATTAAGGGGTGACGTGTAGCGGTATCCTTTTTTTAAAAAAACCGGTCAATTCAACAAAACTGGAAATATCAACAAAAAATATTTTTATATTTTTATATTTTTTTTTTTTTTGGAAATTGTATTCTATTTTTTGATTAATAATTTTATTTACAAGATAATAAAATATGTAATGTAATAATAAGTACGATTGAAGATGTTATACTGTCTGTAGCCGCAATAATAAGTATAATAAGCACCAATCGTAGATTCTAAGTACAATTCATTTGTTCATAGACATACTATAGTCGTCTATAGAACATATTAGAATTCGATGATTATTATTTATTTTATATTATTGTTAATGACGCCGTTGATTAACACTTTTCCACGAACTATTTTTCAATCGATGGTTATGGGTAATTTACTAGGTACCTAATTGAATTTAAATTTATGTTTATCCATAGCTTCAATTGATAAAATATAACCGTATAGGTATTTATTTTTTAATTTAGCTTGTCCCTGAATCGTTTTATAAAGTGGGTATTTGTTTTGTGTAAATTTAAGTAAAACTTAAATTTTCCGAAAAAAACATAATTGCAAAAAACCGTTTCCGAAGTGGTTACCGGTAATCTTGAAGAATAAAACCTCTTCCAAACCTATAACCGGTAATCACATTTTTAGGGATCATTTTGGTAACCGGTAATCAATTACCACTAATTCTAAATACCCTTAAAACTAGTAACCACTTCCGGATTTTTTTCTGGGTCCTACCGGACCCGGTAACCGAATTTTTCATAAACGGTTTCATGTCCTGAATTATTCCCAAGTTAATAAAATTTTTACTTAAGTTCAACTTTACTAGGTATACATTAAAACGCAAAGAACAGGGAACCAAACATCAAGGGAGTCTCATTGAAACATATTTTATTAATATTACAACTGTATCCTATAAGATGAGCGATATACTTATACTAGGTTTATAACAACCTTAGCGTTTAATTTCTTTAAATTATATGACAATATAAACGAATGGTTGAGTTCAGGAAATTACTTTAATCCATAATTTGTAATTTATAGCTTCACACAAATAATAGTTATACAGTTAGCCAAGTTCGCTTATAATGTGGTAAAATTGCGTGCTCATAATAGGTAGTGATTATCTACCTAAACGATCCAATTGAACCATAAGACAAATTTTAGATTTTGTGAGGCACATAGAATGCATTTATTTTATAATATTTTTTTTTTTTTTTATGAATGTTTACTGTATAGTATTTATAATTTATAAACTATAAACCTATATAACAATAGCGATCACATCAAGATTAAACCGGAACTCACTGCAATACACGTGTATTGTATAGGTACGTTGGAAAGTAAAATATAATAACTTACCCTTGCAACTTTGTATATCTTGATCCAAAATAATTAATGGTTAGTAAAAAATATATTATATTAAAAAATAATATGAGGATATGATATAAATGGTTGACTTTGCAGAGGTCGTCAAATCCACTTACAAACATACCTATTAAAATATACTTAAACTTGTGTTAAGCAGAACCAATTTTGTGATGTACGCGCGATATCACTTAATGAATTTTAATGCGGGTGTCACTAATAGATCAGTGGAGTCAAGGGGAATGTTTACTGTATAATATTTACTAACTATAAAATTATAAAATAAAAGCGATCACATCAAGATTAAACCGAAACTCACTGTAACACATGTGCATTGTATAGGTGTGGTGGAAGGTAAAATAAAATGACTTACCCTTGCATGGTATAAATCTCTCTAGATTAAAATAATTAAAAGTTAGTGAAAAATATATTAAATTAAAAAAATTATGAGGATATAATAAATGGATGACTTTGCAGAGGACTTCAAAAACACTTAAAAACATATCATAATATAGGTAAATATGTGTTAAGCAGAACCGATTTTGAGATGTTCATCTAAAATATATATTATAAAATAGAAGTACCTTTTATGTATTTACTTACCCGTTTTTACATGGAGTTCAACGAAGTGTTCTTGAAATCACCAATTTTTTTCACAGGAATTTTTTTTTTTTAAATTTTGCCTCTCGAGGATTACCGATTATTGTATAAATGTCTTTACAACCACGAAGCCATCTCTAATTATTAATAATGAGGGTATTGAGTATTTACACAATAATCTGCAAGAACGGTAATATTGTCTTGTTTTCCTCGATGACTAGATAACAAACATTGGCAACGCTACAACGACGACGACGATGGCTACCGTGATTCTGAATTTAATATAAATTACCATTAAAGAGTTCACACTTTTTCATTTATAACTTAATTTTTAAAAGTACGATTTTTATGATTTTTACACAATATATCTGATGTTTTGAAGTTTACTAGGAGTTAATTTACTAGTAGTAGTTTTGATGCATTAGAAATTAGTTATGTCGTATAACAAATGTACCTGTATTTTACACAGTTTAAATAGGCAACTCCTGCTTTGGTATAATATTGTTATATTATAAACACGGTCGTACAGTTATTTTCTTTTTTTTTCTAGCTCGCTTAAACCTACCTAACCTAATTTTTTTTAAAACCTTATTATAATTATTATAAAAAATTCACATAATAATAATATTTTTGTCAATCACAATTCATCTACTTACACGTTATACGCCATAGTATGAAAATGTGTTGGCCGTGATATTTATTTATACATACTGGATAAACCAATTTGTGATACAGCCGTTTGGTTGATTGTGGATATTCGATGCCATTATCGATAAGGAGATAACGTTTACGTATATTTTATTTTATTTTACTTTTATTATCATTCGTTAACATCGTCGGCAATATTTACTCAGTGTTTAGTAGGTAATTTAGTATTGTATACTCCTTGGTACCTACAGTTCGATTTGTTAACAGTGCTTTGATTTTTAAATTTAAATTAAAAATGAATAGGTAATTCGTTTGAAGTGATAGAGACAACAAAACATCATCCTCTAACTATACACGACGACTATCAATACAGAAAGTATCGAACAAATAACGCAAATATAATAACCTGGGTATGCTTGAATGAGAAAAAAGAAGAAAAATGCAAAGGAAGATTAAAAACAACAGGTAATAAAGTTTTAAGTGTTACCACTCATAAATGTAAATAAGACTTAGCAAAAATTGAAGTAAAAAAAATATATAATATTGCAAAACAACGTACACTTGATACAACATTTTCCCCCGCTCAAATTTTTCAAGAAGAGTTTACGCCATTATTAGAACAGGGATTAGATTTAGTGACTGAAATTCCAGTTTACTCATCGGTAAAAACAATATTGAATCGTATACGGCGTAAATCAATCGGAAATACATTGGATCCTAAATTAAGAGAAGATATTATTATACCTTGCGATTAAGAATTTGTATTATTTTACGACGGAGAAAAAAATATTATTATAGGTTTGTGTTCAATTAAATGTAGATAAATTGCATCTGAAGGAAAAGCTTGTTTTGTAGAAGGCACATTTAAAAGTTGTAGTAAACAATTTTACCAAATTTACACTATACATATAGATATTTGGTCACCGAACGAATAAATAAATATAATTCTTGTGATATATATGTACATTACTTCCGAATAAAACAAAAATGGTTTACGAACGTTTATTTTCGATGGTTAAAACACATATTCCAAATTTTAATCCTGAATATTTTACATTAGACTTTGAAATCTCGACTATTCAATCAATTACACAAATATTTCCTAGTGCTAAAATACACGGTTGCAACTTTCATTTTAATCAAGCACTTTGGAGAAAAATTCAAAATATTGGATTAGCAAGTACCTACTTATACAGATCATGCAGATATTCGACAACACGTTAGAATGTGTTCTGCTCTAGCTCATATTCCAATTAGTGACATAGATGAAGGTTGGATTATTATAATGAGTAATACACCTGATAATATTAAACTTAAATTATTTTATGATTATTTTATTGAACAGTTGTTGGAAAATCCAATTATTTCAAGAGGAATGTGGAACTGTCATAAAAGAAGACATAGAACCAATAATATTGTTGAGGGTTGGAATAGTAAACATAATAAAATATTAAATACACCGCGACCAAAGTTTATGAACTTATATAGCTGTCTTAAAAAGGAGACTGAAAATGCGGAACATTTATATGAAAGAAGCTACTTGAATATGGAAGGAAAAAGGAGAAAAAAAATGTACAAACAATTAGACGAAAGAATTACAAAAACATTAGTAGACGTCTTAGATAATGATTTAGAAAAATGCTTAAGAAAAATAGCTTTTATTCAAAAATTAGAATAAGGTTATGTTTATTATGTACTGTGCTTCTGTGAATTGTGATTGACAAATATATTATTATGTGCATTTTTAAACACGCCAGTAAAAAATACTGCCAGTCCTAAGCCTGGAAAAGTGTGAAGGGAAGTTTAAATATAATAGGTATATTTGACGAGTATATAATTATATCAATAATAGTAAAAAAGTATTATATTATACCTATTAACATAAATTAAGTATATAGTATATAAAATATTATATATAGAACCCAAATCTTATGGTCAGATAGATAGAAATAAATTGACCGCAAAAGGTGCCAACCGCATCGATGCCGACACCAGCAGGTTAGTCTCTCGAATGACGTTCGCGCAGTGATGCAGCAATAATATTTTACTATATAACACCACCGTACTCGCAGGCACGGGAGTCCCGTTGTCGCTGAGTGATTAGGCGAGGACGTAGTTACGACAGTGTGAAACGTCGATCGTAGTACGGGCTAGGCAATCTGAATTTGCTAAGTGATTTATTTATGCTTGTTTTAATATAATAAAAATGTTTCCGACCTGAAAACCCGAGTTTATAATAATTTCAGTCATTCTTAAGTTCTTACCTTTTATAGGAGCAGCGCCGGGATATACGTACTATGTGTCAATGAAGTTTTATTAAACTGAATAGTGCCAAGGTATATGTAATCTTTGAGTCATTTCAACTAGAAAGGAACGAACTAAGAATTGACAAGCGCATATCATCGTACCTCAAAGTTAACAGTGCCATTCTAATTAATTTTAGAGAGTTTCATTAACTAGAGAATACGAGGGTAAGGCGTATAGTTGGTTTACCGCGTATTGTCCAATACGGGTGATACCACAGTTAATAATAGGAAATCGGTTCTGCTGAAATTAAAGTCATGTTTGTTCGACAAAGAAGCATAATACGAGTATGCAGCTGAGGCATATTCTCAGTGTATGTTGTTAAGTATAATATCAAGTACTTACCATCTATAGGAGCGTATATATTACCGACAAAACTTGACATAATAAATATAGCTAAAATATTAATACTTTTGACCATCATATTCGTATCGATAATACAGCTATGAATGCAAATGGAAGAATAATATAAAATGTTGTCTAGTTACGATACTTTAATGGTTGTTAGGCAAATACAAAGCAAAACAAGTGTTTCCATAAACAACTGAATAAATCATGCAGGTATATTTTACGATAAATAACATATTTCCATTGTAAAATGTGTTGAATTTGCACCGGAGTGAATCACTAGACGAGCCCCAATGAGGTTCCACTTAACAATAACATGTCGGTAGATGTTTATGAAACACTTGTCACCGTTTGTAAACAGACGTATTGTTTCCCTTTACATTTATTTATTTAGAAAAAAATTGTACAGGAAAATTTGCTTTAGACAGGAGATACCTTTTGCTACCTATTTACTGCACACATGTCTTAACATACCGGGTTAAGGGGATTGGAAGCGGCGATTTTCTGTCTTTGTCTAACACACGTGCAACATAGGATTATAGACGTGTTCTATTTCCAACGTACCGATTAATCTAGTGAAGCGATAAGACTTCTGAAAACAGATTTGAATTTGTCGTCAAGTCTACTTGAGATCGACTTTCCCACATTTTTGATATTTTGATTAAAACTTCTCCATAAATTGAAATATGGCAATTTTTTAATTACTCTTTTTAATATATCATTTTTATGATTTTTGGGGGATAATATCAAAAATGTGGGGAAGTTGATCTCAAGTAGACTTGACGACAAATTCAAATCTGTTCACAGAGTTCTTATCGCTTCACTAGATTAATCGGTACGTTGGAAATAGAACACGTCTATAATCCCATGT